GTCTGTGGAGGTTGCCAATAAGCGCCGGGAGGTGTCCACCGGTTCCGGTTGGCCGAAAACTTCCGCACCGGTGGGGCCCCGGCTGCCCAAGGCCTTATCCAAGTCGCTGGTTTGTAGTTCAGGTTTGTTACGTGGTGTTCTGGTGTGTCGGTGTGGAGGTTGTCCGATGTCCTCGTAATCTGTGGAATTTATTACGCTCTTATTGGCTGGTGATGGGGCCATGAGTGCGTTGAGTGAAAGTAATTTTCGTAGTTGGAATATCTGAGTAACGAGGACGGGACTTATATACCCATTGGGGAGTCCGGGAATACCACTTCCTCCTCGCCGGATGAGATAAGAAAGTCTGTGTCCATATTTTCTTCAAGGGTTGGGTTGGAATCTTTTGCTGAGAGTCGTGTTTCTTCTGGCGTCATGTCATCGTCGGAGTCACAGAATCTAGCCGGGGAACCTTCCTTGCACCGTTTGGCATCTTTTTCACATCTAGGCTGCTGGGAGACCTTTTTCTTAGTGCCGGTGTACGGCACCGGGGGAAGAGGTTCCTCCAGTAGTTCCTGGTTTTGGTGGGGTATCGTCGGTTGCTGGGTGGTCTTTTTTGTTTTACGAGTTTGTCGTGGTGGGAGAGAAATTTCGTCTGTAGCCGTGTCTTTCATCTTGCGAAGCGATGCGAGCTCCTTGTCCTTTGTGTTTGAGGAGTGTTGCAAGACTTTCACCTTAGCCACGAGATCCTCGATAGTGCCGTACTTTCTTGTGAGCTCCATTCGATTATCTTTTTGTTGTCCTTTTTCCAAAATTTTGATGCGCTCGTCCTTCTGAAGAAGTTCCTTGCGGAGTTGTTTTACTTGTACAGCGGTATCGTTCTGCTTTTTCAGGGCTTCGAGCAGTTGGGAGATATGTTGATTCTTCTTCTGAACTTCTTTGCGAAGCTCGGCGATGTCCTTCCGGAATTCGTGGGCTTCGCTGCCGAGATCTGACGTTGGATGACCATATTTGATCGTGTTCTCCAGTTCCGCGATCTTCTTGTCCTTTTCCTGACTATTTCGGACCAGCATGTTGACCTTCTCTGATAAGTCTTCAATTACCTTATCCTTGCTCGCAGTTGTTACCGCGGCGAAGGAGCTCCTGTCGGTTTGTGCGTCGAATAGCCGTTTCGCTGCCGGGTAGGATATTCCGTGATCCACGCGGATGTGTTGGATAGCATCTTCATAAGCGTAGATCGGGCATTTCCTGCTGGAGATGCCATGGTCGTTTGTTTTGCATCTGGGACAGAACATTTCAAAAGAGCAGCGCTGACCTTGGACGATCTCGTGCTGCTTAGAGCAGTGTCCGCAGGTGGGGTTGGTCTCTTGGCAACGGGCCTTGGTGTGTCCGAAGCGATAGCACTGGTAGCATAGCATTGGTGATGGGTAATAAGGTCTTGTTCTGCATCGCTGGTATCCCACATCGATGTGTGTTGGTCGCACGGTACTCTCTATGGTCAAGATGACCGTTGATGTTTTCTGCTCGATGCCTCCGATTTTGCGTGAGAGAATCTCACGCAAGTATGTGACCTTTTGATTGGAAAGATACTTTAGTATATCCTCGTCGGACATTTTCTCCACACCTTGGATGTTGATCACGCACCGAACGGAGTTGAGTCCGGTGTGTTTAGTGATTTTTATCTTCGTCCCATCTAGCAGTTCAGTCATTTCCAGGAGTTTGTCCACCTGCTTTTGATTCCGCACTTTTAGGGCATATGTCAGACCACGTGCCTCTGGAAAAGCACCGTCGATCATGCCACTGATATGGCTTTCAATAGATGTCCGTAAGAGGAATGGGTTCTCCGGTGCTTTACCGGAATCCAATGCCAGTTTCAAAACGATCAGTTCACCATGGTTGCCGTCTCTGTCCATGAAACCCGGTAGGGTTGCGCCGGTGTAAGATCCATCAATAACATTATATGGACCCCCTCCCTTGTCGGGGGGGGGGGGGAGCGGAGGAAAATTCCCGTCCAGCATCACCGCTGGGGAAAAAGGTACTATCCCCCTTGAGCCACCACTGAATTCGGTGAAGGTGCTGACTTTTGACAACGATGGCTCCCGTACTATTGCGTCGCTATGCGCTTGCCTCTTAATTACCACACGTAATTACCACTGACTGAAATGGGAAAAAGGGAATCTTCCACGATGGGGCGACACCCTGTTCGCCCCCGAAACTGTTCCGACTCACTAAAGATGAAAACTCACAAGATTTCACTCGCGGCGACGCGATAAAAACTGCAATGATTTGTAAACACGTTCGACCGTGGTGACGTCCGTTTGACGTTCGCCCAAAATTAAGTTCAATTGACTCAAATTTGAGAATATCTCATATACTCACTAGTAGCAACACTAGTAGCTTATTGAACGATAGTCATGAGAAAGTCGAATCTCTCGTTCCGTTTTTGACAACAACAAAAAGTGAGAGTGGGATGCAAAACTCAAAATAACCCAAAATTAAGTAAAAAGAACTTAAATTTAGGGTAATTTTTTCTCTGTGTAGGGCTTTAAGTAGAAATACTCAGAGGGAGAGATGGGCGGAGAGGATGTTTTGAGCCAAATGAACTGTCATAATCTGAGCCAACCGAACTACACGAAACGAAAATCAATTATTTAATTCATGTGTTTCACTTATACAATTTTGCCAAAGCATCAGCCTTATACATTCCATAAGACAAACCACATATGTCCTATTAGAATGCATAAAAGGTATGCGTGACCGCTTATACATTTCATTTGACACATGATCTTTATTAACTTTTTGCAAGGCGTCTGCTTATTAGTTGACTTATACAATTTATGAATAATCAGCAATGGAAATTTGCCAAAAGGTATAAGGAGATTTCTATCCGTGTAGAAATACTCAGAGGGAGAGATAGGCGGAGAAAACAAAATACAATTCGGCAGCAGGGATTTGTTCCTAAATTATCTTGCAACCCTTGCTAGAAGCTAGCATTTCAAATGACTTTTATTTTTGATTCGATTTACGTACAAAATATTAATTGATTGCATAGCAATATTTTGCACATTTCTTGGTGCCATTTATTAACCAACGAAGATCAATTAATCAATAGAGTTAGAATATTGTTTTTGGTTCCAAAAACTAGTTGAATTTGAGAAGCACACAAAACATAAAGGTGATTGAATTTCTGTTCGATTGCAATACTCTCAAATTTATTGAAGTAAGAATAAGAAATCCTCGGAAAAATTCTAATTGGAATGTTCGATTGGCTCAGATTTTGACAATACATTTGGCTCAAAACATTCTCTCCGCCCATCTCTCCCTCTGAGTATTTCTAAATCGAACATTCCAATTAGAATTTTTATTATTCTTATTTGAATAAATTTGAGAGTATTGCAATCGAACAGAAATTCAATCACCTTTATGTTATGTGTGCTTCTCAAATTCAACTAGTTTTTGGAATCAAAAACAATATTCTAACTCTATTGATTAATTGATCTTCGCCGGTTAACGAATGGCACCAAGAAATGTGCAAAATATTGCGATGCATCCCTAAATCGTCCACATAATTTTCATTTAAGTTTTTGCTGAATTCCTGTGAAGAATCCGATCTGGAGCTGCTGGTCGGATACAATCCAAGAACGCCCGTATGTGAAAGGGTTACTTACACAATTACCATAATACCCCGTTCACATTACAGCCTATATCACGTAATATAGGCTGTCTTGCAATGAGCACTCATACATAGGATTTCAAGTGAAAACTAGATGTATGAGTGCTCATTGCAAGATAGCGTATATCACGTGATATACGCTGTAATGTGAACGGGGTATAACATTACAATAGTCTTTCTGAAGGTCAATCTATCGTGCGAGTATGAGGTAGATCTATATCAAAGGGATTGATTCTTCCTAGATCGTTAATTAGAGATATCTGTTCCATATTTCAGCACCTTGGCAATGATTGCTCCAGTGATTGTCAAACGGAAACTGGAGTACGAAAATAGTTTTGCAGGCTCGGTTGAGAACATACACGATTCATATTTTATCTTAAATTATTACAATAAAAATATTACTGCATTATTGCTGTTTACTTTTATTCATTATCACGATATAAAACGCAATCAAAAACGCATCCTGACAAATAAACGGACTACATCCTAAAAAATTCAGCAACTTTATACTATTCAATGAATAATACCCCGTTCATATTACAGCCTATATCACGTAATATAGGCTGTCTTGCAATGAGCACTCATACATAGGATTTCCAGTGAAAACTAGATGTATGAGTGCTCATTGCAAGATAGCGTATATCACGTGATATACGCTGTAATGTGAACGGGGTATAAAGCATTTTTATCTACCCGCATAAACAATAACCATTAGAGGAGCCTAACCACCAATTCGGGATATCATCTCAACTTTATGTGGTATGGTCGTACCATCTATGACGTTGTTAGTGTATGGTACCCGTTTATTAGGGTAAGCTTGCATTCTCTCTCTTTCACTCTCTTTATACCAAGCTATGCGTCGGTCAGGAGAGTTGCGATTTAGCGTAGCTTTTATACTATTTAGATTTCAATATTTTTTGAGTGCTCTTTTCTGCTACTAATACCAACAAATACCCTCTTTTGTTATACCTGTATATACTAATTCAATGTCAACATTTCAAAGGGGCGTAATTGCTTTTGTAAACAATGACTTTAGCCGTCAATTTCTTGCGAATGATATCTTACCTCTCCAAAATTACAATGCTAGCTGGTAGAGGAAACATTCCTCTACCTGGTGGTGTTATTATTTTTCATGAGTGAGCTGTTATTTGCGAGAAATCTATGGCTAAAGCCATTGTTTACAAATGCAATTACGCCCCTTTGAAATGTTGGCACTGAATTGTACTTATAACGTGTTTTTCGGTAACCATATATAAAGTTTCCTTGTATGTTGTATGCGCTGTGTCCCGTTCTGATTGGTGGATGATGTGTCAAAACAATAATTCGCTTCCTCGGGTGTTCTCGTCGCCGGACTAGCTCGTCGTTCGACCAGCTCAGCGTTTTGTGGGATATTTTTTATGAAAGAACAGCTTTTTCATTGAATTAAGAGCAATCGAACTCATAAAACAGTTGGTTAATACAAGATTAAATTAAAAAAATATCACCAACTGTTTCTGTTAAAAGAAAATGCATTCTATGCTTTGCTGGAACTCGGTTGTTTGAGGTTACGGTGCAAGCGCAAGGATAACAGTGTAAGTTACCTAATTTAATAATCACTGCTGCGTTTTTACACAAGTAACTGGAAATATTCGTCATTTTTTCAGCATCCAAGATGAAAACGGTGCACAGTTTAGTATTACTAGGAGTGATAACTCTCATCGGAAATGCTACCGGTGAATCCAAGAGCCATCCCATCACTACGCAGCTGTCTGCAAAATGGGGCATAACGCCAGTAGAACTGGAGATAGCGGAATTCATTGAGGAGGAAAATGTCAATTTGTTTTGGGATTATATCGATCTGATAAACAAAATACCAAATGGGTTGCACAGCATAGGTGACAATGTAAACAAATAGTGTGTTTGATATGTTTATTAAATTTTGCTTTCCAACACAGGTACCGAGCAGGACCGATATAAGAAGTCAATCGAGATTGCCGAAGCTTTGCTTGGAATCGGTCAAACGAACCTTCTGAAACTGGCATTATCGCTTCATAGTTTCTCTGCAAAAGTTCAAGCCCATCTTCAGATTTCCAACGAGGTACTAAAACAAGGCGATTGTGAGACATCTGCTTTCGTGAACATAGGAGGTAAGATAGCGTGCGACGAAAGTGACCTAAGAAGTATCCTGAAAGCGATTGACACGGACCAAACGAAAGTGGAAACCTACAGTCTGGATCACGTGTACCCAGCGTCGGAGAATAACTCTTTAACAGCTATCTTATATGCACAAATTGGAACTGACGCGTTTCAAAATATCCACGTCATTCTTAAGGAAGAAGCCGAGAAGGGAGCGATTAAGTATGTTTTCCGTCATTTCATCAAAAATGTGTCGAGTAAGAAAATGCGCTTGTCGGGCTATGGAGTCGAATTGCATCTAAAATCAACTGAGTACAAAAGTCAAGACGATTCGCCCCAGCAGCAAGATCAAGAAGCGAACCTTAACGACGATTCAGCGGAACCAGAAGTTGAAGGTTTCGATTTCGTCAAGCTCAAGGAGCGATTGCCACATCTTTCTCATTCGCTAGATCGGTTCCGCAATTCATTGCTGGAGAAGCATGAAGAGATTGCCCCACTCAAAGCGTGGGAGTTTCAGGAATTGGGTCTGCAGGCAGCTCAGAGAATTGCTCAAATTCAGGGAGAAGAAGCGCTGCAGATACTGCAGTTTACCGCTCAGAATTTCCCAACGCAAGCCAAATCCCTACTCGCTCAAGCAGTTTCGGAAGATTTCAAAAAAGAAATGCGGCATAACATTGAAGTTCTGGGACGCAATCTGAATCTTCAGCCGCCAGATTCTGCTTTATTTTTGAATGGGTTGTTTTTCGATGCTGACACAATCGATACGATTACCCTGTTGGACACTCTCAGAACAGAAATGCACGTATTGGAAGGGCTTAATAAGATCAATCTCCGTGGCAAGACGGCTGCTCCGCTGTTGGCGCTGGATCTCTCGTCTACATCCAAAGAATTTGCCATCGATATTCGTGATTCTGCCATCACGTGGATCAACGATTTGGAAAACGACGCCCAATATAGACGGTGGCCAGGCAGTGTCATGGACCTGCTACGTCCTACTTTCCCCGGAATGCTACGGAACATTCGTAAGAATCTGTTCAATCTGGTGCTTGTTATAGATCCCATTTCCTTTGACGAGAGCGGTCGAGGTATCGTGAAGCTTGCGGAAAGTTTCGTTGTTCATTCGGCTCCGGTTCGAGTAGGGTTGGTGTTTGACACTAGAGCAAGCTCGGATAAGGAAGTCGACCACCGTGCCATCGTATGTGCTTTTAACTATGCGCACCAGAAGAAAGGATCCACCGACGCTCTCGGTTTTCTAACGGATGTGAGTAATTTATCATAAAATCAAATTTTGAATTCAAATATATTTGTTTTTTTTATAGCTTTTTGCTGCAACAACGAAGCGTGACATTACACATGATGATGTTCGAAAGCAGTTGAAGAAATCGTTCTCTAAGCTGAAATCGGACGAAGTTGATGAAATTCTCGGTGAAGATTCCGACTTTGACTACGGTCGACAGCTGTCACAGGAATTCGTCGGAAGGTTAGGATTGAAAACTACACCCCAGGCACTGATGAATGGCGTCCTGCTGTCGCAAAGCACGCTTAACACAGACGACTTCGAAGAAACCATTCTAACGGAAATTATGCAACAAACACCCACCATCCAAAAGGCCGTCTACAAGGGTGACCTGAACGACGGGGAACCGGCTATCGACTATCTGATGAAACAACCGCACGTTATGCCGCGATTGAATCAGCGGATTCTTTCTGTCGAAGATCCAGTTTTTCTGGACGTATCCGGCAATCCTCATCCGGACCTCGAGGACGTATCCGCTCTGGCACAATTGTCAAACTCCGATTTAACGGCTACACTGATCAAGAATCTGAAGTACCTGGGAGGAAAGTCCAGTTACGAGAAGTATATGGGCCAGCGATTACATTTACACAGCGTTTGGGTTGTGGCAGATTTGCAACAAACCAACGGTCGTCAGCTCTTGCAGAATGCGTTACGTTTTATGGTAAGTATTACCATTCTGCACATAAATTTTGAAATTGTCTAAAGAACAAGCTTTTCAGAAATCAACCAGCGGAACACGAGTGGCCTTCATTCCCAATGTAGACGGTACAGCTGCCGTTCGATCTGAACTGAGGAAAGATTTGAATGCTCTCGTGTGGGCTACCATCAACACACTTCAACCCGATGAGGCAACGGAGGTGGTCATAAATCTCCTGAAGCAAGCTGAGGAGGGGAACGACTTCGAAGTTCCCGACCCAGTGTTCGGATTCATTCCAGCAACGCAACTTCATTTAAAAATGCTCCGCGTTTACTGTCAACGTGTGCTGAAAATGAAAGCATCTCTCAGTGCTCTGGTGGCCAACGGGCGCATTCTGGGAACATTCGATCAGGACGAAGTTTTCGATTCGGAAGATTTCGGCTTGCTGGAAAAGTTCATCAATCTGCAATACACCGATAAGATTCGACAGGCTCTCAAGGAGGCTTCTGTCGATGAAGACGACGTTGAAATCACCAGTGATACCGTTTTCAAATTGGTAGCAATTTTAGTGCCTCGACAGCAGTCGAAATCGCGTTTCAATATACCGGCAGAAATCCAGGAAAATCACACCGTGGTCCGACTTCCTCCCAAGTCAAAGGATCTACCCTTCTTCGAGGTCGTTGCAGTGCTAGATCCAGCCTCGAGAGGTGCGCAAAAGCTCTCGTCTTTGCTTATCTTGTTGCGCAATGTGATCAACTGCAATATGCGATTGATTCTTTGTGCCGTAGACAGACACAGTGATATGCCGGTAAAAACGTAAGTAGTTAACTATTTGTTATATTCTTCATGATGTGTAAACACTAAGATTGGCTGGTCATATTCTGGTATCCCTCGATTAACCGGATGCGTAAATAGATCGTTCAAAAAATTAATCCATGCATGTTCGACTCTCAGTGCGGTCGAGGATCATTTATCTAAATCCTTGGACTTTCTACACATTATACAACAACATTTATTAGTTGCTACATGTTGAATCTAGCAACTGCTGTTAACTCGATTGTTTACACAATCCAGTTTATTGAGTAACATCTAGCAGTCATCTGTGAATCATTTGGAAAGAAGAACTCTGTTGAAAATTTCATCTGCTGATCCAGTTACTCCCAACAAAATCTCCACTCCAGGCGTTGTTTGGCGTTGGGTCTTATGCCTTGTTAGAGTACCAAGCCTGCAAACTGCGTGTCGATGCTGTTAAATAGCACGACTGTCCCGTTACCGAAAAGCGAGCTTGCTCACATCATCGACACGCAGTTAGCAGGTTTTATGAGAGTTAATAATTAGGTCTACTTTTGCAAGTGCCTAGAAAATCAACTCTGATTTGCCAAGAACAGTTTCCATGGACCAGGATCCTTAAATTTGTTCTCAGTCTCAGCATGTTAAAAAAAATTGAATTTATGTGTATGGGATCTTGAAAAATTTACAATGGAACACAGTTTCAAGTCTCTCTTAGCTCAGTCGGTAAAAGCGCAGCTATAAAGCAATACCATGCTGGCGGTGGCGGCTGGGTTCGATTCCCGGTCCGGTCTAGGGATTTTTCGGGTTGGAAATTTCTCGACTTGCCTGGACATAGACTATAATTGAACTTGCCACAAAATTATACTAATGCAAAAATGGTACAGGCATCGAAAGCACTCAATTATTAATAACTGTGGAAGTACATCTGTGGAACACTAAGTTGAGAGCACGCAATAAGCTAATATGCGATAAGCAATAAGCTTGAAATGCGTAGTAGAAGAAGAAGACAGTTCTACACCAAATGACGAATCGATTAAACTCGACCTTCGCCGATTTGCATGAAACTTTACATAATTGTTATGGGACATTTTTGCTAAAATTTGGCCATTCTGGATCCCGTATTTTTTTTTTTCAAAATTATGTCTTTGACATGTTTTATTATATTGTAGCACGAATACGTCACATCTGATCGACATGACGTCTAATATAAAGTTGTAGAGAACAATAAAGTGTTTATTTTTTCGTTGGTTTGTTTTCCGTCGATCTTGTTTTCCGTACTAAGTACCAATGCTACCCACACCTGGACCCTACCTATCGACCCATCAACTCATAGACCGGGGACCAACGGCTTTACTTCCCTTACGTGATCAGGGACGGCATTGCGCATCTCTAAACGAAAAACTTTTTCATACAAGCGTTCCTACAAAATGCCTTCGTTTCGAGATGCGCAATGTGCCCCCAGAGATTTTATGCCTCAGAAAATCCCGGCGGCGCCGACTGTGATTGAGAGGCAATCACGCTTACCACTACACCATCGGCGCCGCTTAAAATTTAATAAAGTTTTTCTCGGAAAAATAAACCCGTTATTTTTTTTGTAATGCTGAGGTAATATTTTAAAAATGTGTTAAATACTCAAATATTTCTAAATTTCCTTATATAATTTGTGTTTTTTTTATCATGAAAAATGCAAACTTTTGGCCTTTAGGGATTTTCCTTATTAGATAGTTGTATAGAGTTTTTCTCCTTTACTTTACTTAAATCTTTGGTTATTATTAGTTAGGATGAGTACTGAAGAGGGCCTTTAGTGGGAATGACACTGATGAAGACTACACATTGTGTATAGATACCAAAATGAATTAAGTGGAATTAAATGGAAGATAACTTTTTTTGCTGTTTTGTTCAAGCATTCCGCTAACAACCCAATTTCATTACTTCATGACGAAAAGTTGTTGTTCTACAATTGTTGTCTATTTTAAAATGTCCATAGTTTTTTTTAAATTCCAAAAGTTTGCTTTTATTGAAAGAAGCCATCCTAAAAAAAAAGATCCAAAATTGCCGAATTCGTGCAAAAATGTGAATGATTGCCCATATCTAATAATTTTGTTTCATGCAAATCGGAGAAGCCTGAGCCGAAAATATTTTTTTTTTTTGCTATTTGGTCTGGAACTGCTCAATATCTTCATTTACTAAATTATTTCTTATGAGCATTTTAAATGCCTTCAGAGTTACTTTCAGGAACATATTACCAAGTCTGATTTTCACCACAGGCTCGAAGCAGCACAGTGATTTCACCTCTACCAATATGACGGTTTATTATCAGACGTTGGTAAATAAATGTCCATATTTACAGAGGTATCACATCATTATGCTGCTCCAAAGTAATCGAGGTCATCATCAATGAGGCAATCTTCAGCTCTTGTAAAAACTACATTTCCACGGATCAGTATGGATTCTACCCAAAACGGTCAGTCACGACGAATTTGACCGAATTCTCAATGCAGATTTTGCAGCTCATCAAATCTGGGTCGGTATTAAAAGTTACTCCGAGTTGGAGCTTACCGCCATCAGACAAACAGATGAATCATGAGTGCATATGCCATCTTGAAAGTACCCATTAATTAGTCAAATTTATCCCATTTTGAAGTTAAGTGGCTTAACTCATTAATGGCAATACCGTGTGTTTTCTGATCGAAAAAAAAACCAGGAATCAAAAACAACCGGGAAAAACGAAAATTTTATTGGAACCTTACAATATTTTGTCGTACCCATATTAATCAAATTATGTTAATAAATATTCTGAGTCCGATATCTTGAATATTTCTCTTAAAAACTTTTTGAAGTCCGGAATTGTTACTTTCCATGAAAGATATCAAAAATTAAGTCTGAGATCTAAACAAAATTTGCAATGTCCAAGAGTCTGGTGTTTTGAATATTAGTGATAGTTTCAGAACCTTTGAAAGTTTTCATGTCACAAATTTTAGAGAATTTCTTGGATATTTAATGCACGTCCACAGAGAATTTTTCACACTTTTCTAAAATGTCAGGTCCATCCATAGTCATAAAGGAACATGCCTGTGCCGGAATATGTGACCGGTGATATATTCGGTATAGCAAAATACGCTACGAGGGGAGAGGTTATTTGTCTGTGCAAGGAATCTTTTAAAAAAAATCTTTGAGTTTTCTAAATTGTTTCTCAGAAACTCATATCTTTGCTTAGGATCATTCCAAAAAAAATTCAGAATTACTTTTACTTTCAGGATTTCTCTCAATAATTAGTGATGAACCACCTTCATATTATAAAAAAAAAACGCGAATTTATCCACCTATGGTGTGATCAGACCCTTCTTACTTATTCAAGTTTATTTATTTTATTGCCATTATCAGTGACCATGCCCCCCACCCCCGTGTCATCCAGTGACGCTACGCCACTGCCTGGGGGTACCCGGAATATATCCGGGTGTAGTCTATTTGGTGAGGCTACCAATCACCTTATCATCGTATTTTAATGTGATTTAATGGGTTTTAATTCAATTCATATTCAAGCAACTTCCCCGGGGTACCCGGAACATGTCCAAGTGTGTCCAATGTGGTCTGGAACACTTAACACGACTTGCATTGATCTTATTTTTGAATTCTGTAGTAATTTGATGTGTCGCATGATGGTTTTGATACGTTTTCCGTTAAATCCAGCGTGAAGGTCCATATTCACCGGATCTTATTCCGGCCATATCTCCATAACCGGTTCACCGATTTCAAAACCGTTCAATAGCGTTCAATGGGACCCCAAGACCTATCATGTGGCGCCGAGTTTGTCCAAATCGGTTGAGCGGTTGCTGAGAAACGTGAGCGCATTCATTTCGTTACACACACACACAGAGACATGTTCCGATCTCGTCGAGCTGAGTCGAATGGTATATGACACTCGGCCCTCCGGGCCTCGGATCGATAGTCGGTTTTTCAAGTGATATCTATACCCTTCTTTGTAAGAAGGGTAAAAATCTTGCAATAATCTTATTGTTTGGGGGAAAGTTTTTGGCGTGGTTCGGACTAGCGATTTCTCGATGGTTGAAAAACTAAAATTGAACGCATCTGCTCGGTACAAGATTTATTTTACTAATAATTCAACTGACAAGGTTTTTCATTTAACAGGTAACGCAAATACAACATTGTATGTGTATACACTGAAATAAGTGGACTGTATTCTTCTTACTGAGCAATCATACACCCCCCGTTGGATCGTTAGAGTCAACATCCGGAAACAGACAGATCTTAGTCACTGCCCGTTTAAACTCGCTACTTGCCGTCCTGACGGTGACCACTCTCACCACCCTGTCTTCACCTGGATGTGTAGCAGTGATGCGGCCCAATTTCCCCTGCTGTGGTGGAACGTTCTCCTCTCGCAGTAGCACCAAAGCACCTATTTTGATGTCCAGAACATCGCCTTTCCATTTCTGCCGTGTCTGCAGCGTGTGTAGGTAGTCAGCAGACCATCGCTTCCAAAAATGTTCTCTCATGTACTGCACATGTTGCCACCTTGACAGCCTGCCAATCTTCAATTGGTCGTACGACGGTTCGGGAATTGCTTGACCTGTGCGTCCAATCAGGAAATGCGAAGGGGTCAAAGCCTGGAAATCGTTGGGATCGTCTGATAAGGGGCACATAGGACGAGAATTCATAATCACTTCCGCTTCGGCCAGGAACGTCGTCATTTCTTCGAATGTTAACCTCGTTTCTCCCACAACGCGTTTGAGTAGGTACTTCATTGCCTTTACTCCGACCTACCAAACTCCGCCGAAGTGAGTAGTAGTTCTCGTAGTTCAGCAAGTTCATTGGAAGCCCCGATAAATGTTGTGGCATTGTCCGAATGAATGTTTGAAGGAAAGCCACGTCGACTGGTGAATCTTTGCAATGCTGCCAAGAAAGTCTCTGAGCGCAGATCTGTGCATAGCTCCAAATGTACTGCCTTCACTGCCATACACACAAATACAGCAACGTATGCTTTCAGAAACTTCGGTTTTTTACCA